AAGATTTTTCCAGGTATGTAGAACAAAAGTCAGAGATAAGATAGGTCCCCTTAAAAATAACTATGGGCATCTTACTGACAAAGAGAATGAAATGTGCTCGATTTTAAATAATTATTTTCTCTCGGTTTTTACGCAGGAAGACACTAATAACATTCCAGTAATTAATTTCTGTAGTGGGCCAGAAGAAGATAAATTATGTAACATCACAGTCACTAGTGAAATGGTTGTGAAGCAGATAGACCAACTGAAGCAAAATAAGTCACCGGGTCCTGATGAGGTTTTTTCAAGGGTTCTTAAGGAATGCAAAATGGAAGTCTGTGAACCATTAACTAATATTTTTAATTTATCTCTTCAAACAGGTGTAGTGTCTGATATGTGGAAGATGGCTAATGCAATTCCTATTTTTAAAACAGGGGACAAGTCGTTACCGTCAAATTACCGCCCAATAAGCCTGACCTCAATTGTAGGTAAATTACTAGAGTCAATTATAGCTGAGATTATAAGAAGCCATCTCGATAAGCATAGCTTGATTAATGATACTCAGCATAGATTCACAAGAGGCCGGTCTTGTCTAACTAATTTATTAACTTTCTTCAGTAAAGCTTTTGAGGCTGTTGACCACGATAAAGAATTTGATATTATTTACTTAGATTTTAGTAAGGCTTTTGATAGAGTTCCGCACCAAAGACTGTTAAAGAAAGTGGCAGCTCATGGCATTGGGGGAAAAGTGCTCTCGTGGGTCGAGTCATGGCTCACTGACAGGAAGCAGTGTGTCCATAAATGGGGGTTAAATCCGAGTGGGGATCTGTAACAAGTGGCGTTCCACAGGGATCAGTCTTGGGCCCGTTGTTGTTTATAATATATATCAATGATCTTGATGAGGGTGTTACTAGTGATATGAGCAAATTCACCGATGACACAAAGATAGGTAGGATAATTGATTCAAACGTAGATGTTAGGGAACTTCAGGAGGATTTAGACAAACTCTACTCTTGGTCAGAAAAGTGGCAGATGCAGTTCAATGTAGATAAATGCAAGGTTCTTAAGCTCGGGAGTGTCCATAACCCTAGCACTTATAAGTTAAATAATGTAGAACTTAGCCATACAGATTGCGAAAAGGACTTGGGGGTTATGGTGAGCAGCAACCTTAAACCAAGACAGCAATGCCTAAGCGTACGTAATAAGGCAAATAGATTACTGGGATTTATATCAAGAAGTGTAAGCAACAGAAGTCCAGAGGTTATACTGCAGCTTTATACATCATTAGTAAGGCCTCACCTAGATTATGCAGCTCAATTCTGGTCTCCATATTACAGAATGGACATAAATTCGTTATAAAACATTCAGCGTAGGATGACTAAATTAATACATAGCATTAGAAATCTTCCTTATGAAGAAAGATTGAAGACTCTTTAAGTTACATTCACTTGTTAGACGAAGAATGAGGGGAGACCTGATTGAAGTGTATAAGTGGAAGATAGGTATTAATAAAGGGGATATTAACAAGGTCTTGAGGATATCTCTCCAAGAGAGAACCCGCAGTAATGGATTTAAATTAGATAAGTTTAGACTTAGAAAGGACATAGGAAAGTATTGGTTTGGAAATAGGGTAGTTGATGAGTGGAACAGTCTACCTAGTTGGGTTATTGAGGCTAGGACTTTGGGTAGTTTCAAATTTAGGTTGGATAAGTACATGAGTGGGAGGGGTTGGATTTGAGTGGGACTTGCACATCAGAGCTTATTTCTTGGGTGGCATTGAAAATTGGGTTGGTCAAATGTTTGTTAGTGGGATGAATTGTAAAGGACCTGCCTAGTATGGGCCAACAGGCCTGCTGCAGTGTTCCTCCTTTCTTATGTTCTTAATAATTTGTAAATATTATACTAACAAATTACTTAAGGTTGACAGGCTCACATAACTTTTTCTTAATCATACGGTCTGCTAAATAAGTTTACTGGCTTAAAATTTCATAATAAATATTCAGGAACTATAAGTTCATAATGTAAGATCCCGATGTGTGTTGAGGAGGTGAGACGGTGGTCATTGAAGGAGGTACATTGTTGTTACCCAGTGTCACACAAGTCCCACATGTCTCCGAGGTACACCTATATCAGTAGGTATAATCTATTTTAGATGTGCCAGAGTTCTTCCCCAGTTATGTTGGTGGAATGTTAATTCAGGACTGCTTGTGAAATTCACCCACATAACACTATGTAACAAAATTTCACCTTTGTCGTGTTCTTGGGAAATAAGCGTCATTTCTCAATTCTTTATAACTAAACAGAATTGCAAAAAAACAATTTTGATCCCAGAACTTTGCTTCTGTGGTCAGGATACTTCTGGAACCCTTTCAAGAAAGACTGATGTAAAACTATTATGTTCTAGAGTTTTGCTTGACAAATATAAAAACAGGGGCTCACATACCAGCATTCAGTTCAGCTTTGGCTACCTGAGAAGACACATCAGAGGAAGTGAAATGGCATCAAGAGGCTGCAGTCATTCTCCAGATTCATTCTCCTACATATGTGGTCAATTCATTAAGACAAGTGCCAAGAAGTTGTCTGTAACAGCATCTAAAAAATTGTGTGAAGCTTACAAAGCATATTTTGGCATGACACTTGGGGACCAATACAAGACCTGGGCGCCTCATATTGCTTGTGAGCATTGTAAGACATTCTGGAAGTAAAGTAAAAGGACACAAGTGCAACTAATGTGACATTTATTGTGGCAACGTTTCGCTCTCCAGGAGCTTTATCAAGCCATTACAAACAATGTCACATTAGTTGCACTTGTGTTCTTTTACTTTACATATTGTCGGTAATTCTACCAACTTTATCACATTCTGGAAGGTAAGAAAGTCATTAGTTATATGAAGGGTAAAATCATGAATAGGAATATTTTTTAAATAAAATGTATGTAACAGAAACTAATTCTTTTGTTCTTTTACTGGATGGTATAGAGGAGAAAAAAGAGCCATGAAGTTTGGTGTTCCTAGAATATGGTGTGAACCCACTGATCACTCAACCAACTGCTACTTCTTCCTGGTGGATCCTTCCAAACTCCGAACTGGGAAAAATGCACCTGCTATTTCTTATCCAGACCTTCCTTCTTCTATTACACCAGTACCACACAGTGCTGATCTTCCTGTACCTCCACCTCCAGAAAGAAGTCAACCGTTAGAAGAAGAAAGCAGTAAATCAGAAAATGAAGAGCACAGTGAACAAGACTATGATCTCACAGGTGCAGCTGTTGGGAGTAATCCTTTCTACCCAAACCAAACAGACCTCGAGACCTTATTAGAGATCTTGGTGTGACAAAGTTAAATGCTGAGCTTTTGGTTTCAAGGCTCAAGAAATGGGACTTGGTGGATGAATGTGTGCAAGTGACAAGCCAAAGAAAACGTCACTAACATTTCTCAAGCTTCTTCACTAATGAAGATAGGTTGTGCTACTGTAATGATGTATCAGGCCTGTTTTATGCAATTGGAATTGCATGTAATAGAGATGAATGGAGATTCTTCATTGACAGCTCCTCCAGAAGCCTAAAAACTGCACTTCTGCACAATGGGAACAAGTATCCATCACTTCCCATGGCTCATTCAGTGCATCTTAAGGAGGACTACAACAGTGTCAAACTTTTACTGAAAGCTTTGAACTATGATAAGTGTGGCTGGGAAGTTACTGGAGACTTCAAAATGATGGCATTTTTGATGGGACTTCAAGGAGGTTTTACCAAGTTTCCCTGTTATCTCTGTCATTGGGATAGAGACAGAGCAGCACAATACCAGAGGAAGCAGTGGGACTGAGTTCTCAGTAGGAAGACATAATATCAAATTCCTCAAAAGGTTCTTTTCCCACCATTACACATCAAACTAGGGCTAATGAAACAGTTTGTTATAGCTATTCAAGTATCTTCAAGACTTCTTTCCCAAGCTATCAGAGGCAGAGGTGAAGGTTGGCATCTTCACTGAACCACAAGTCAGGAAAATCATGGAGTGCTTAGAATTTCCAAAGAAGCTCACAGAGAAGGAAAAGAAAGCCTGGGAGAGTTTTATTGCTGTAGCACAGGGCTTTCTGGGCAACAACAAGGCTGACAATTATGTGGAACTTGTTGAGACCTTGGTAAAAGAGTAAGGTCAGATGGGCTGTAGGATGTCCCCTGAGGTCCATATCCTTCATGCTCATCTTGACAATTTCAAAGAGAATATGGGAGCATACTCAGAGGAGCAAGGGGAGCGCTTCCATAAAAATATAATGGACTTTGAACACAGATATCAGGGATCTTATAATGAAAACATAATGGAAGACTACATTTGGGGGCTTAAACGGGAAAGTGATTTGTTGCATGTTCGCAGATCTCGAAAAACTGCTCATTTTTAACTTTGTAAATATGTTTCAGAAAGATCAAAATAAAATTTGTGTAAATTTTATTTTACTTATGTAAATTTTATTTGTTTTATTATATGTTTTTGTTTTACATCAAAACTAGCAAAAAAATATTGAAATTCAGCCAATTTTTCTCAAAAATTCATCCTGTAAGCCACAAAAGCAAATTTTAAAAGTAATACTGGGCATTTTCTACTATTTTGAAATAAAAGGAGTTGGAAAATAACACTTACTTGCCAGGAACAAAAATTGTTTTACATAGTGAATTATTTAAAATGTTCCTTTTCCAGTTAAGGTGTTTAATGTTAAAATCTGCATTGTCAAAAACGTATTAAAAAGAATGAGTCTGTCTAATTCAGGTTTCCAAGGTTATACAGCAGATGCCTCAGTGCATTATAACTTTAACAAAATTCAAAAATTGACACTGTATTGATAATGATTTTAGAATCAACTTTACAAAATAAGTTCACCGAACTACTCGAGGTCTTACTGTTTATTAAATGGCTCAGTAAATATTTGGTAATAACGAGCATCAAGGAAAAGTATTACCTTTTGTGAGGCAGTGCCACATTGAAAAATATTACCTCTTGTGAGACAGTCACATTGAAAAGTATTACCTCTTGTGAGACAGTGTTGATGAGTAAACTGGATGTAGCTGTTTTCTGCCTTCTTTCTCCATGAAATTCTTGTGTGTATGAATCCTCATCGCTTGACCCCATTGCATTTTGATAGTTTGGATCCATCTTAATAAAGGATGCTTAGTTCTGCAGAGGAAAGATAAGTTGAAAGATAAGTTGTAAACTCTGGAATAGTTACATTCCAGAGTTTGTTTGCCCCTTTTTAATGAAAGGCACAATTTACTGAGTAATGCACATAATTAAAGAAAGATATGTACAAAGATATATAAATTTTAATAAATATAATAAACATAATTTGCACAGACGTTCAATAATGGTGCTGGAATATGCTTGGAACTTGTTTCTGGTCTGGGTTCCATCTGTGGGATCGATATCTTCATTCAGATTCATACACTTTCATGGTTGATACGCGTCAGGGAAAATCAGGAATAAGACTTCATTTTTCAGGGTTAGGGAATTTTCAGGGAATTTGCAAATTTTGAAATTTGCCAGGGAAAACCGACTAATCAGTGCCACTTTTACCGTATGAAAAAGATAACCAAATTTTGTATAATTGGTAATTTGTTTACCTAAGATACTAAAGATTTTTCTTGTCAGAATCCCTTGTTCTTGTACATCCCCCTGGGGCATCAGGTTGACTTAGTGCAGTGTCTTAGTAGACTTGTGTTATTTTTCTACAACAATACTTCTTTTTATTCAGCAGGTTGTTAATGGATATGCTAGATTAGAAGCCTAAATTGTAGATTTGGTGGAGGTGACCTTAATTATGAGTAGACGCACCTTTAATATAGAATGGCTGAAGGATCTTGAATTTTAATATTGACTAGGTAAACATTGATCTAACATGAAAGCAAGATGTTTTCTGTATGGCAAGATTTGAAATTTTGGCAACATGAAAAAATGGTCTTGAAGTCCCATGCTAAGGAAGTTCATCATGAGGTGGTAGTGCTGACTATGAAAATTTACTAGGAACGGCAGTCCATCCAAAGTTCCTCAAGTTTCAACTATGAGTAAAAGAAGTAATAGTTCTGACGAAGGAGTTCTAACAGTTCCTGTTCCACCTCGAGCAAAGAATCAGCTTGTTCTCGCCAGCGCCTCAGCGTCCACCTCCACCTCCCATACACATTCTGACGTGAGATCTTTTGTTGGTAAAGATGAAGTTTTTGAGGCAGAAATTATCTGTTCTCTAAGCACTGTTATGAATCATTATTCTAGCTTCCCTTGAAAATCAAATGACAAGTTATTTCAGAGGATGTTCCCTGACTCAAAAATAGCTTGGCAGTTTTCACGTGGGAGAACTAAATGTTCATACAGTGTCAAATATGGCCTGAAACAGAACTACAGTTCTGGATCCATACTTTGATTTGTTCGTAATCTCCTTTGATGAGTCCTTGACTTCAGGGCACCAGAAATAGCAAATGCATCAACTCCAAAGCTTTTGTCAGAAAAATCAAGTAATCTCTCGCTACCTGAAGTCAGAGTTCTTTTATGCTCTTGCTGTTGACCTTTTGGATAAGTTCCTTGACGGGCTTTCCTCACTAACTGTACCTGATATGCTTCAACTACTTTGAAAATATGTGAGCACCGTACTTAGGAGCACAGATAAGATGGCAAGCCTACTAAATATTGGGACCTTCGATCTCTATGTTGTCCATCCGCAAGACTGGAGTTAGGGCTACTGGCTAGCATGTAGATGTCATCCTTTAGGGTCCTGTATTATATCTTCCATGAGTAACCGACAAGAAAAGAGGATCTTCATACCATACAGGTGTGCACCCAGTTCCTTCAAGATTTTACTAGAAAAGGTGGCTGGAAGATGGCCCTGTAGTAAAAAAAGGCAATGGAATTGTGGCCAGACATACAGAAATATGTTTCTGTGTCTTAAGGGACCCAAAAATAAAGTGCCTAAAATCTAGAATTTCAGTCTTGCATAAAAGTGTACAAGAAATAACTGCTTATCGCTGAGTTGTAGTTTTTACAACACTGTGGCCCAACTCTTAAAAGGATACTTGCAAACTTTCCAAACTGAGAACCCTATGACAGTTTTTATGGCAGGAGACACTAAGGACATCGAGACCAGATGATAAAGTTCACCAAAAAGATCTTAGATAAAGCATACATTACAATGAAGCATGTCAATAGACATTAATAACAAGGAAAACTGGCTGAATGCAAAATCATTTGTTCTAGGTTTTGAGGTAAAAGCCATAGTTGACAAATTGGAAAAGAACAAGACAGTATCCCCATTATAATTTTGCTATGACAGCAAAGCTGTTGCAGAGATCATCCCTTAAGAATGCCCTATCAAAATATATTGGTGCCTTTGATCCTGTTATTATTATTATAATCAAGGGGAAGCGCTAAACCCGTAGGATTATACAGCTCCTGGGGGGGATGTGGAAGGCATTCAGGCTTAATTCGGGGAACTGGAGCACAGATCCAATTCCCTAAATCAATCCTTTGATCCTAGAAAGCTGGCACAAATTCAAGTGACGGTATTAAATTATTTTAACAAACTTCTGGAGACGCTTTTTCAAAAATGTTGAGAACAGAGGAATGTAATGATGCCCAGCTACAGTGCAGTGAATTTGAGACACATCCAGAAGTACCACAACAATGAGTTCAAGACTTTCCTACCCTTGACTGGGTAGGAAGAATATATTGGATTTTGGAAGGCACTGAAATGAATTTTGACTCTCTTCCATTATGGTCAGTCAGATGTTGATATGGGGTTTCAGTGAATGACGATATACTTCACCTTCAGTGTGAAGCAAGAAAGAAAGTAGACAGATGCACAACGATGTGAAGAAGAAGGACTGTGAGGTACATCACATCCCAGTCAACAAAGACGTCACAGTCCTGAAGAGGCTCAAGAACGAGGTGTTCACTGTATCTGGAAGATCAGAACAAAAAGTAAAAACTGGTATGGGGGAGGAGAGGATGAATAAATTAAAAAAAAGGCAGAACAGTGCAGAAATGCAGAGAAAAAATAAATTAGCCCAGCTGCTAAAAAAGGTGATAAACTCGGTAAAGAAGCAAAGAACAAGCACAGATGGATATTTAACGAGGCAAATGCTCTGAAGACTAAAACCAAACAAAGAAGAAAACTTGTAGAGGTGGCCAGAAAAATACCAATTGCAGACAAGAAAAAAGAAACTGATCAGATCATTCATTACTTTTGAGCATTCGTAACATTCACATTATTCTAACGAGATTCTGTTTTTCTGTTGATTTTTTATTATGCTACAAGATGAGATAATTACATTATGCTACAAGTTCTGTAAATGAGATAATTACATTTCTTCACTAATCTCATGTATCGGTTGTAGCTGATGATGCAGTATGTCTATTCAAATAATATTTTTAGAATATTTTTTAATAATTCCAAAAAGTATTGAGACATTGCTGTTACAAAACATAAATATAATCACACAGTTGACATTTGTGAAATACTAATGTCAATTGTAATGTCCATTTTAATTTGAGTTTTCGAATTTTGTAAACATGTTTGAATATCGAGCAGCCTCGTGTGTTATGTGTAATACGTCAAGATGTGTTGTGGGAGGAATGGGGAGTTTGGAGGCTGCGAAGTGGTAAAATATTGTCAGGAAAAAGTGTAGTTTTGTCATGAAAATTTCAGGGAATTTTGAAATTGGTCTTGTGTGTCAACCATGGCTTTTAAATAAAAAAAATTACAAAATTCCACAGTGTACGATGGTGTCAGAAAGATTTTATTATCGAATGCAAGAAACTCTTCGCATGTGATGGAATATAACAGCAAAATATTAATAGATTTGTTCCGTCAGTTTACCTCTCATACAGTGTAGGAATAACACAATCACCTGTGTGTTTACACACAAAATAAAAGCTTGGAAAAGGTAAACTCAACTATTTTCTCTCTTAAATTATAAAAAGCTACATTTTCCTTTATGGAAAGGTAAGGTTTATCTAGATGGTGAAGGGTTCTTGATCCAAGGAGCTGTAACTATCCCTCCCTTCCTTTGATTTAACCTGATACCTCTCATTTCCCAGGCGCAGTATGCCCCCTACGGTTTTAGCGTTTTCAGTTAATATAATAACTGACTGATAGCCAGCCATCACATTTCACAAACTCTTAAGTAAGTTTGAGTAAGATTGTTATGCCAACTCTCCTCATTAACGCAAACCTGACTCAAGTTACATATGTGGAATGTTTTCATTTGCTGTCCATTACACGCGAATCTCAACACTGAGTAAAACTTAACACTCAAAAACAGTGTAGCACAGATAAGTGTCCGTGGAACACTGTTCTCAATATCACTTCCTCTAACCCACCCTCCTGTACACAAGATAACTATTACATTCTTAAGGCAAATGTGTGTAAATTCACTCAAATAACAGTTACTTATGGCCTCAGAAGGTTGATAAATTAACCCTCTATAGATATGGTGAGATTTAAACACATTTCGGAGATGTTTACAGGAATCGTTTTCAACAGATTGCTTATTCAAGCTAAACTACGCATATACCAGCGTTTACGGTAAACATTTAGTGTTGTCTAAATGACATTTCTGATGGTTACTAGCTTTCAGCAGTTGATCATACTAGACAACAATAGATAAAAGCTGAAAAACAGCCTTGTGTTTACCACCATTACCCAGGAAGGAATATTCACTGCACTGGCAACACTGCCGACCACTATGACACACAATGCCGTGTTTTGTATCGAAATTAAACTACAACAGATATAACACATCTTACTACACTTTGACTGTTCTAATGGCCGGTGTTAATAAGAAAAGTTAGTGTGAAATTCTTGTGAGCACTGCGAGAGTTACCTTAGTAAAGTGAGCGAGGCGAGAGCCAGGCACCAGCTGACATGCAAAACGTATTGCTTCCCAAGGTAGAGCCGTAAACCCCGCCCCCTCCCCCCCTCTCTCTCCACACAGTCTTTCTTCCTCTATAATAATCCTTATTTCTCCAAGTACATGTGCAAGGTATACAGGCCTACTTGATATCAATGACATACTACTATATAGAAAGCCGCTTGTTATGCAGAGCATTTGGGGCAAATTAGATCAGTTTTGTTGCAGGATGCGACCCACACCAGTGGACTAACACCCAAGTACCCATTTTATTCTGATGGGTGAATATGGACAGCACGTACCTTCCTTCTTATCTTCCCTTACCTCTTCTTCATTCCATTTCTTCCTCGTTTCCCTCTCCCTCTTCGTCTCTTCTCTTCATCTTCCTTCCCTCCCTCTTCATTCCTTCTCTTCCTCATCATCTTTCCTCCCTACCTCTCTTCCTCTTCATCCCCTCTCTTCCTCCCGTGCCTCCCTCACTTCCATATAGAATAGAGTTACCACACACTATTCTATATGGAAGTCGCCGCACTCCTCCAATAGAGGATTTATACATTTTTGTTTACAAAATATCCGTGTGAACTTTACCGTTTCTCCCACGCGATCACTATCAAATATCTTGGATATCAGTGGGAATATCACTAAGGTGGTTACTGCCTTCGCAAATAAATTGAGTTGATAATTTTACCTACATAAGATCTCTGTACATTCTATTTATCTGGATTAAAATCTACAAGGGATCAGGACCAGCGTCACAGAAAACACAAGGAGGATCAGACTTACTTGAGGGTGGAGATTGTCCCAAGCACAGGTCTTCCCAGATGGCTAACCTCTAGCAAGTATGTCCTTCAATCAGTTATCTTTGACCATAAACCCTCGTGCTGGTGATGAATGGATACCTGTAAATAATGATAAACTGAGAAGTCTGTAAACTAAAGTTAAGTTGGTAATTCCTAATTAGCTTCAGGCTACAAACAACAATACGATCACTAAGATATAGATATCCCAACTATTAGGGGTTTTTACTTCACTAAACACTACCTCAATCAGATCCTTGAATATTGATGAAACTATGTATGATTGGCCACTACAAATCAGTTGAACGACAAATTTTGACTCTCAAAGATGGGCGGCCTATTTCCTGGATTGAATACACAACACATGAATGAAGGAACACTGCAGTAAGCCCATACTAGGCAGGTCTAATTCACCCCATCCACACCCACTCATGTACCCGTCAGACCTATATTTATAGTTACCCAAATCTTGCCTCAATGACGCTACCAAAAAGTTTGTTCCACTCATCTACAACACTTGTCAAAACTGTATTTCCCTGTATCTTTTATAAATCTAAATTAATCACACTTGAATCCACAGCTGCGAGTCCTGTCATAGTTAAATATTTTCAACACCATACTTATATCTCCTTTGTAGATCAATGGTTCAGAGAACCGACACGTTGATAACTTAGACACATGTGCAACTCTTGGGTATCAAGAGTTGCGCATGTGTCTAATTTATCAACGTGTCGGTTCTCTGAACTATTGATCTACAATCCTGTCAGACACTGCAACTTCTTGGGATCTTAATACTTGGGAATTCTTCGCTTGCCTAACCCTTGGGCACGACCTACTTCCACATTGAACAAATGTGACACCACCTACGACTGCTGCACCTCTCCTGCCATACGGTTTATAAGCTCCTTCTCCGCTCATATGCCGTATTCTATTCAAGATTGATGAACTGACCACATCGACTCAAGGCCGAGGGACTGATTACCTCATTCTCCTCCTGTTCTTCAAATTTTCTCCTTTGTATGGACTGATGAAGCCACTGTGTGGCGAAACGTTTCTTCAATAAAGATACCCAAGAGTTGCACATGTGTCTAATTTATCATCTCCTTTGCACACTTCAGTCATATCTCTCCGAATTCTACATTTTTCCAGAGAGAGTAAATTCAGTGCCTTTAGCCTATTCTTTGTAGAAAAGGTTTCTGTTAAGTGAAATCAGCTTCGTCATCCTTCTAAGTATATATTATAGTCTCCAATTAGGAGACCATAAATAAGTAGTATAATCTAAATATGGCCTAAGCTAAGCTATATAAGCTTGTATAACGTTAAGATTTCTGTTATAATTTTTGATATAAAGACATGATTTCTATTAGATTTATTGCGAACACTTAAGCACTGTTGTCTTACCTGGATACCTGGAGGTTACCTGGAGGTTATTCCGGGGATCAACGCCCCCGCGGCCCGGTCCATGACCAGGCCTCCCGATGGATCAGGGCCTGATCAACTAGGCTGTTACTGCTGGCCGCACGCAGTCCGACGTACGAGCCACAGCCCGGCTGATCCGGCACTGACTTTAGGTATCTGTCCAGCTCTCTCTTGAAGGCAGCCAGGGGTTTATTGGCAATTCCCCTAATGCTTGATGGGAGGCTGTTGAACAGTTTTGGGCCCCGTACACTTATGGTGTTTTCTCTTAGTGTACCAATGGCGCCCCTACTTTTTATTGGCGGCATTTTGCATCGCCTGCCCAGTCTTTTACTTTCGTAGGGAGTGATTTCTGTGTGCAGATTTGGGACCATTCCTTCCAGGAAAGAGCGTGAAGAAACTATATAAAGTTGCGTGTCCCATAAAATGGTTTAGGCATATCCTCCCTTTAACTGTATATCGTCTGGAAATGGGAAAAAGATAGCGAAGAGGAGGGAAAGATGAAAAGGGAGAGAAAGACTGAGCGAGAAAGAGGGGGGCATGTAAGGTCATGGCAGGTCACGTGACACTGTGGGGGTCGGAAGTAGCGGATGTAGCGACGTGGGAAATCTCCCCACCCCCTCCCCAATATCTGGGGAGATGGGGGCGAGGTGTGACCTGACAACCCTCCCTTCGATGTGACCTTCTACCCCAGCACACCTGTCAACCAGCACATCTAGCCATGTGACAAGACACTATAACGACACTGGAGTTTACCTGGAGAGAGTTTCGGGGGTCAACGCCCCCGCGGCCCGGTCTGTGACCAGGCCTCCTGGTGGATCAGCGCCTGATCAACCAGGCTGTTGCTGCTGGCTGCACGCAAACCAACGTACGAGCCACAGCCCGGCTGATCAGGAACTGACTTTAGGTGCTTGTCCAGTGCCAGCTTGAAGACTGCCAGGGGTCTGTTGGTAATCCCCCTTATGTGTGCTGGGAGGCAGTTGAACAGTCTCGGGCCCCTGACACACACATACACATACACACACATATACGGAAAACTTTATATATGACGAAGATACGTTAAATACTGGATGAGGAAAGGCAGGACCCAAGAGCTAAAGCTCCTTCATCTTATGCAAATATAATTAGAAAATTACACACGATAAACTAGTATTATTATATAAATGGTTTAGAAAACCGACAAGTTGACGAATAAGATACACTGAGACGATGTTACGTCCACTAGGAAATATAGTCCTTGCTCCATACCTTACGTTACGTTTGATATACCTTCGAGAGATTTTCTCCTCCCGGAGCCCGGCCATAGGCCGTGTTCATCTGGTATTTTCATGGTCAAATAGACTGTTGCTGCTGGTGGCTCGCTGCCCCACATATCCACAGCCTGGCTGATCTGGTACCTGATGAAGATACTTCGCCCCCTTTGAGTGCTCTGATATCTCTCCTCTGATACATCTTACTGCCCTGAAGTCACCCGTCACCACCAGCACATCGTCTAAAGCTTCCATTCTGAATTGTGGTTAATTTTCTATCGTTCCGTCGCGGTGCTGTGAAATTTCTCCTTTACAGAAGAATATGTAATACAGAAACACTACTGTGGGTCTACCGGCCCTTTCTAGGCAGGTCATACTTACACGCATTAGTGCATTTGTCAAATAACGAAGTATATTAACCTATTCTTCCCAGTTGCATGTTCTCCATTCCTCGAATAAAATTTATTTATTTATTCAATGATTATCTTTTTCTTTTGATGAGTGATCAAAAATTTACTATCGGAAAAGCCCGTCATATGTGTACACACACACACACACACGCACACACACACACACACACACACACACACACACACACACACACACACACACACACACACACACACACACACACACACACACACACACACACATACACATACACACACATATACGGAAAACTTTATATATGACGAAGATACGTTAAATACTGGATGAGGAAAGGCAGGACCCAAGAGCTAAAGCTCCTTCATCTTATGCAAATATAATTAGAAAATTACACACGATAAACTAGTATTATTATATAAATGGTTTAGAAAACCGACAAGTTGACGAATAAGATACTTGTGCAACAACTATCTTTATTTGTGGAAATGTTTCAGCCAGTGACTTCATCAGTCTAATGTAGGGCAGAGCAGTGGGAGGTAATCCGTCCCTCAGCCTGCAGTTGATGTGCTCAGTCCATCAGTTTTGGTAAAAGTACAGCATATGTATGCATAATGTTGGCCAAAAACGGGCTTCTGGCACGGGTCTCAATCTTCCGATGATCTTTCATCTGCATATACGCAGATAAGAGGTTTATATACTGTAGACAGGTGAGGTGAAGCGGTCATGGGCGGTCACTTTAACTAAAATCTACACTGTTCTGTTTATAAATGCCTTAGTTATTTTTTTCGTTGGATTATAACTTGTCTGCATTTATCTGCACCTGCTGCTTCTCCGACTACAACATCAGCCTCTTCAAGTCATTCTGTATCGTTCCTCGTAAATTATTTGATGACCTATTTTAGTATCATCGGCAAATTTGTGCCGCTAATTAATCCCTCATATATGTTAAGAAGACTATGAACAACACGGGTCCCAAAACTGACCCCAGTGGCACAACACTCGTAATGGTTTCCCCATTCTGATTTCTTCCCATTAATGCAAACACCCTGTTGCCCATCATTCAGCCATGCCTCGACCCAGGAGATAATTTCTTCACTACCATGTACATTTTTTTTTCTTAATCAGTCTCCAATATAAAACTTTATCGATGGCCTCGAGTGCCGTAGTGACAAAGGTTAGTAAATTCGTAAGGCAAGAATGCCCCATTCAGGAGCGTGGGAGATTCGTTGATCAAAGTATATCCTTCAAGGTGGCTTCGAATTGCAACAGCAATTATTGATTCCATCAGGTTTCCCACAGTTCAGGTTAGGCTTGCAGGTTGAAGTTAAGCACTTATCTCCCACTATAAACGGGTATTGCGTTTGCCCTTTTTCATATTCCGATACGAGATCCATTAGCTAGCCTCTGCTGAAGAGACTAATTAATGGTTTGTTACCTTCCTCCTTACATTCTTTTGGAACTCTTGAAAATAGCTCATCAGGGCCCGGTGATTTGTTTGGTTTCAATATATCAATTTGTCTGAGGACCATGTCACTAGTGACACTGCAAAAATTATTTTCGTCCTGAACAGCATAATTATTGATGTCTGGGATTTCGTTTCTATTCTCTTGTGTAAAAAGAGAGATAAGCTACAGTAACTGTTGAAAATAATACACTTAGTCTTTGCCACTAACAGTACACTAACCTGAATTAAAATTTAAGTGGTTAGAAGGGATCGAAGATCAACCCTTAGGGTTGGTCTTCGATCCCTTGTAACCATAACTTCATATCCTCTATTGCTTTCCTTGTCCCCCCCCCCCTTTTTTTTTTGTTTTTGGCTTCTCTCTTAAAATGAATATACTGCCCCGTAAACCGACTCTCTTCTGATTTGATTTACCTACCAAGTTCTCACCTTCTATCCAAGAGATGCTTTAATCTACTGTTTATTGATTTAGGATAATTCATGCACGATCTGGGTAAATTCTCTATTAGGAGTATATGCATCTTGGCCGGCTTGTACAATGCTTTGGAAAATATTATAGAAATAGTGATCACCATCGTCTGTCAGGTTTCCCTCGCGATAATACCTAGTCAGGTTACCCCAGTCTACAGTACTCAGGTAATATCTTAGCACCAGAACTTGAGGACCTTAACTTGGTCTTCATTTTCTAGGCAGTTCCATGAGATATTGAATCGAAGTGATTTATTAATGCTTTCTCCAAGCTCTTCATAAATAACGTCAAGATTTTCTGTCAGAGCAACCTTGCTTTGCCAGAACTAAGTCCAGAAGGTTATTTCATCTAGATACAAATTCTTTTAAAAAGCAGTCCTGAACCATTTTCAGAAAGTCGCTCGACTCTAGATTTCCTGTCCAACTGCTCCAGTCAATGTGGCTAAAGTTAAAATTTAAATGGCTTATAAATTCCGGTCCAAAGAAGTTTTACCCAGATCACTTTAGATTTGGGAGTTTGTAGATCACACCTAAATTTAACTTTTCATGACCTTCGAGACAATGCAGCCAGACAGATGCCATACCTGTCCTTCCATCTTTATTGTTTTTGATGGAATAGTTTAAAAAAATTTCTAACATACATAGTAACTCCACTCCATCTGCTACTGATTCTATCAGTGTGGAATAATTTATACCCCCTGTATGTGACATTCAGCAGGCATGTCCCTATTTTTCAGAGCGAAACAGGTCTCGATTACTGTAATAATATCAATTCACTCCGCATGCAGTTAGTTTCAGTTCATCTATTTCATGTCTTGAATTCCTTTTTTTTTTTTTTTTTTTTTTTACAGAAGTTGCTAAGGAAGTTTTAGTTTTGCCACCTCGCCATTGCTGAGACATTATTATTCATCATTTGCTTACTTTTAAAATCAGTATACTAATAGGTATTACCGAAGAGGTGAATTTAAGCGGTTCCCTAAAAAAAATTTCTTCCAAGGTTTTTCGTTTATAACTTGGGAAGCCGTCATTCTGATGGCTTCAGATTTTCAACACTGATATACTGCAGTTAGAGAAGGTTCCTTCAGTTGTTATCATGTGCAGTTGTGCTCTAGTTAATTTATATAGACCATTCCCGAGTTTGGTTTCTGTGGGATAACTTTAGAAAGCCTCTTCTGTCTGACTTCAATTTTCAAGAGATGTTAGCATCCTGTCGAAAATTTTTGATAATTTTCCTGTGATTTGTGTGTAATAATTAATGGGGATGATAGTGTTTGTAAAGTAGTGTAGGTGTGTAACGTTGTTGTGACTTCTGAAAAGTGATAATTCGACTGGTGTATCCTACCTAGAAGAAGTCTGAGATTATGATTGGAGTGTATGATTGGAGTGTACAGGTGCCAGTTTGGTAATCTCATTTAAAAAGGTATATTATTATTTTTCTTGATATAAATTGAGTATACCTCCTTTGAACGACGTCAGTCTTTCATGGGTGATACATCTTATAGACAGGTTTATATCCAATAGGTTTAGGCTCAGTAAATGAAAATTTGCCAGTTCCCTATGCAGAGTTAATAAATTTGGACCTGGGGTACGAGCAATAACGAGAATGTTTTTTTCGGATCGGTTTCAAACTTAGTGACTGTCGGATTTGCTCAGAGAAGATTCGCATTGATTTGGAATGTGTAAGTATTTGATAGTTTTATTAATCAAATTGGTATGGGTGCAATAATCGACGAATGCCTCACCTGACTGACTTTAAAACTAAGAGCTGGTTTATATACCTTGGAGGAAAGTTTGGATTTATTTTGGGCTGTGTAGGTTCTAATTTGACAATTTTACTGAAGAAATTAAAAAAAAATACTGTTTTTTTATGTAATTATTTGTTGAATGCCTTATCCGAATGTAACTAGTGAGAGGCTACAAACTCGGTGTTGGCGGGTTTTGGGATATTGATCTCTGTGCGATAAACTGGAAAATGGCCGGTCTGATGATACCGACAAGATGTGGGAAAAGACACCTATGTGCAATTCAGGACATCTATTAAAAGATACGTTTCGCCCTGAGTGACTTCTTCAGTCCTAATACAGAGATAACTAAGGAGGACTGAAGAAGCCAATCGAAAAGTTTCCTTTAATAAATGTCCTAAACTGTATATAAGTGGAGAATGTGTCTTGCGATTTGCGTTAAACTTTGAAAGTTGTGCATCTTAGTGCAGGTTGAACTTGATTTTGGAATGTGCTAAGAGAACCGACAAGTTGATAAATTAGACATTGGGTATCTTTATTGTGGAAACGTTTCGCTTTCACAATGCAGAGAAGAATAGATGAACATCAGGAGTTTAAAATAATCAGTCCCTCAGCCTTAAGTCGATATAATCGGTCCATCAATCTTGAAAAGACTGATGAAGTGATTACATGGAAACTCTCTCTAATCTTCTACTTTGTAATGGACTGATGAAGCCGCTGTGTAGCGAAACGTTTCCTCAGTAAAGATACCCAAGTGTTACATGTATGTTTAATTTATCACTTTGATTTTGGGTTGTGTAGGTGCCATTTCCACATTTTTAGTGAAGAAATTGTGATATTAGTTTCCATACGAGAACTTATGAAGGCCTCTTTCGATCGACTTCAAATATTCAACGTTAATATGTTACCTGGAAATAAGTGTAATAAGCTATGTCACACTTTCTACAATTCTATTTGTGTTTATTCTGGTAGAGGAGGGAGGAGGAAAACTTATGGAATAAGTGGATTTTTTTTTCACGGATTGCACAACGACCGATATCCATGTATTCAGAATATGCCACTGAGTGGACATCGTTATCCAGAGAAAACAAACACGAAGGGAGTGACATCAAAGTCAAGAACACTCGGCCCCATCCTTACAGATAAACCGGTGATAGACTGCGCTGTGTTGCACCGTTGTGTGGCCAGAGACAACGTAATCCAGATCCAAGAACAAAAGTATAGATACGAAGGAGGCACATCAAGTGCTTTTGTATATAGCTGGCAGTAAACAGTCGCAATCGTGCAGTTATGTACCACAGTATTTATGTGACAGGTGGATGCATGTGAGGTGTACATAGTGCATAATGATGAATGTGACTAATTAGCAGCCAGTAGTGATACCTTTAACTGTTTATTGCATGTTTAATAAATCATGAGAACACAGAGGCTAACAGACCAAAACATAATCAGACCTAACCACAAACAATGCAACACTATACTTACGCTGTAATAATGATCTGAGGAAAAACAGTAAATACAGTAGGTGCGAATTACGTAATGGATGTCTATTAGAAATGTATTTTTGTTCATAGTATTGATGATCTGAAGTTCTTCATCGGGATGTATGTAGCAGATCAGCGGTTCCCAACCTGTGGTTCACGGACCATTGGGGGTCCACAACGGTAATACTGGGGGTCAGTGAGAAGTTAAAAATTTCAAGAGGCTTTATTGTAAAATGTATAATTACTCACGATGAGGCTGAGATAAACTTTTAAAATTCCAAAGCCGTTTTCAAATCGGCAGGAATGGTCTAGTTTTTAGACGCTTTTCTAAACTGTTAGTCTTATTTTATGTAAAGGTTGCCGAATAAAACATACCAAACCACCGTCGAACATTGGTCATGTTTCAATAAGTACAATTTATCAGATTTTCAATTACATGTGAAAAATGAGTAGCCAGAACTGGAATCCAAACCACTGAAATATTTAATGCCATTCCCCATTATATATATCACTAGACTTTCTCACAGCTGTTTTATATAAACTCAAAATACAAAAACAAGATGAATGTGGAACTTGATCTACGCTTAAAACTGAAATTTGGAACATAGTGTCAACAAAGAAGCATCAACCATCTCATTAAACGTGTTATTTATGTAATTGCATACACAGTTACGTATGTCTTTCAAATGAGAGGGGAAACTGCGGAAACGAGTTTGTCTGTGGGAAATTTAATTTAAATAAAAGGGGTCCTTGGTGGTGTAAAGGCTGGGAACCACTTCAGTATGTCCACCTTAACCCACTCTGCTATCTAGGCGATGTGTTATATTTTACTGTAACAAGTGAACCCTTGTATACTATACTAAAACAAAGATATTGACAAGTAAACAACATCCCCAACTCATCTGTTTACAGGATGAAAATATTCGCTACGTTAAAAATCTTACTGATATCTTGGTGTAGATGTACCCTTTAATAAATCCACCATACAATAACTAAATAAGAAATGCAAACTTAGGCTAAATACTCTCAAAATTGTTGCTGGCTACAACCCCAACTATGATGCTAATGTGAGAATCATGAGAATGATGTACATAGCTTATGTTAGGTCAATAATTTTTTGCTCCCATGTTGATATTAGCTAGGGAAAGTTCTCTCCAACCCTTGAAGTTAATACATAATGAAGCCCTCAGAATTATTCATGGCTGTTCCAAATCTACTTAGGTTCTTTACACGAGGAAGGAGCTTAGTGTCTCTAGTATCAGTGATAGGATTATTTAAATTAACACTGTACTTGGTATTAGAATGTTAAGAAATGAACCAGAGACTGTCATTATGAATCTTACTAAATGTCTAGAAGTAAATACACATAGATCTAAAAGGGTTGTGAAAGCATGCATTTATATTAAGTTTTATAACTTGCGCGAACTGCATCACTGTAGACAACAAGAGCATTTCACCCCTCCATGGAAGATGTGTTCATTTAATATCACATACCTGCAAGTCGCTTCCAAGAAGCTCATTACTAGTAATCCCTTCCTTAATTCACTTGTAAAAGCAACTGCCCAAGAAGAAATTCCTCGCCTAGCTCACAAGTTATATAAACTGATGGATCTAAACAGGAGTCTTCTGGCAGGGCTGCATCTGCTCTTGTTGCCACCTCCCTAGTTAAGAACGATAATAAATTTGTTGAGTTAGGCATAAGTATTAACTGGGCGTCTACACTGCAAACTGAATGGCGCTAAAGTTAACTTATGACACTGAGCTTGATGATTATATCATCATTACTGATTCTATGTCATCGTTGAAGGCTCTTGACTCACATAATAACTAACAACATGTTCATTGAAGAAGCCAAGTATAGTTACTAAAAAATCCGGGAAAAAGGAATTAGTGTACAACTGCTATGGATCCCATCACACATTGGATTACTCCTTCATAATGAAGCTGATATGTTAACCATGAAGAGTACCCAGAGGGAGAATATAGAATATAACTGGCATTTCTGTTTTTAGCATTAGGAATAATATTAGGAGAGGGGTAAATAATGAAAATGAATGTTATATGAATGCAGTTAATGGCCTGAGTAGATCTATAACCCACTATGATAACATGAACGTAGATAAGTATGTTTATGGAGCAACTTGCAATGTGAACAGACTGACTGATGTTGTAGTGGCCAGGCTTAGGCTTGGTTACAAGTACTTCTGTCAGTTTGGGAGACACACAGATGATCATCAAATAAATGCAAAGTATGTGGCCAGCTCTATGGTCACTCTTGAACACTATGTGCTTAATTGTTCACTTACTGAAGCATATAGAGATAGTATAATAACCCATATATGTCCAGGTATCTTATTAATGAAAATAAGATACCAGATATATTAAGTAAATTCCACAAATTTGCTTGTAACAGATAAGTCAACTGTAGATATAAATCCACACGTACACCTGTTCACCCTTTTGGGGCCTAGTTCCTAGGCCTTTTGTGTATCCATATGCTCTTGCACTACCGTCCATAGGATGGATATGGAGTGCACAATAAACTAGCCACTTCGGTGGCAAAATCTGATCTATTATACTGATGGCCATTTGTATTTTTTATTAAAAAATAGATATATAAGCAGTGTGCTGCTACCCTATATGATAATTACACAATGGGAACAAAAGCTAGCTATATTACCCTGTTACATTCCATCACGCAGGATGGGCGTATTCAAGGTGCTGAAATCTGTCAGCGTGAGTTGACTTGAGAAGGGCAATGAGAGGATGTTGTGAAGCATGTCGGCAAGATTTCATCAACTACGGGGACTTTAAATTAAGGTTTTCTTCCAGCATAGTTGCTGCTACTGTCACTTGGGGATTACCATCTCTCAGGATAGCCTGTCCCATATACAGGAATTTTTATTAAGATATCTCCATTGAACCAGAGTGAGGATAAGTGAATTATACACAGGAGGCAGAGGTAAGAAAAAAAATAAGGTGAAGGAAGGGAAAGATGGATGCTATAAGATACGCAACCATACACATACATATGCAAAACAACCACTGTGAAAAAGTAGCGAAATTTCCAGCGTTTTCGTGACTTCTCACATTATGAAGGAACTATTTTTTTCACAGTGGTTGTTTTGCATATTGTGATATCACCTGTTTACTGTGATGTTATTGCACATATACATATATATACACACTCACATACATATGTATATATGCAATAAGATCACAGTCAACAGGTGATTTCAGAATATGTATATATAAATATTTACACACACACACACACAACATATATACATGCATACATTAGTAGATAAATCAGAGTAATTCTAAGCCTAAGAACACATAGCGGCACTAGCTTTTATTTTTAGGATTTTTATTAAAAAAAAAGACGGGACTCAGTACAAGATTGCAGAAAAATCAACGTGTGAAGGAACTTAATAAAAAAAACATGTCGCAGGACAGACATGTGAGGGAACTCACACCACCATGGTTGCAGGGCAACAAACATGTAAGGGAACTTAATCCACACCACATTGGTTGCAGGACAAACGTGAGGGAACTAGATAGTGTACAGAGAACCTTTACTGCATATATAAGTTATATCAAACACCTTAACTACTGGGAACGCTTGGAAGCCCTTGACTTGTATTCGTTGGAACGCAGGAGAGAGATATATATCATAATTTACCCTTGGAAAATGGTAGAAGGAATGGTCCCGAATCTGCACACAGAAATCACTCTCTACGAAAGCAAAAGACTGGGCAGGCGGTGCAAAATACCCCCATTGAGTAGTAGAGGCACCATTTGTACACTAAGAGAAAATACCATAAGTGTCCGGGGCCAAAGACTGTTCAACAGCCTCTCATCATGCATAAGGGGAATTAACACTAGGCCCCTGGCTGCCCTAAAGAAGGAATTAGACAGATAGTCGGTGCCGGATCAGCCGGACTGTGGTTCGTACGTTCGACTGCGTGCGACTAGCAGTAACAGCCTAGTTGATTAGGCCCTGATCCACCGGGAGGCCTGATCGTGAACCGGGCCGCAGGGGCGTTCATCCACTAAATACTTTCCAGGTAGACCACCAGGTTGCAGGATAAACATGTAAGGGAACTCACACCACACCACCATGGTTGCAGAACAAACGTGAGGGAACTAACACCACCATGGTTGCAGGACAAACGTGAGGGAACTAACACCACCATGGTTGCAGGACAAACGTGAGGGAAGTAACACCACCATGGTTGCAGGACAAACGTGAGGGAACTAGCACCACCATGGTTGCAGGACAAACGTGAGGGAAGTAACACCACCATGGTTGCAGGACAAACGTGAGGGAACTAACACCACCATGGTTGCAGGACAAACGTGAGGGAAGTAACACCACCATGGTTGCAGGACAAACGTGAGGGAACTAACACCACCATGGTTGCAGGACAAACGTGAGGGGAACTAACACCACCATGGTTGCAGTACAAACGTGAGGGAACTAACACCACCATGGTTGCAGGACAAACGTGAGGGAAGTAACACCACCATGGTTGCAGGACTAACGTGAGGGAACTAACACCACCATGGTTGCAGGACAAACGTGAGGGAAGTAACACCACCATGGTTGCAGGACTAACGTGAGGGAAGTAACACCACCATGGTTGCAGTACAAACGTGAGGGAACTAACACCACCATGGTTGCAGGACTAACGTGAGGGAAGTAACACCACCATGGTTGCAGTACAAACGTGAGGGAACTAACACCACCATGGTTGCAGGACTAACGTGAGGGAACTAACACCACCATGGTTGCAGGACAAACGTGAGGGAACTAACACCACCATGGTTGCAGGACAAACGTGAGGGAAGTAACACCACCATGGTTGCAGGACTAACGTGAGGGAACTAACACCACCATGGTTGCAGGACAAACGTGAGGGAACTAACACCACCATGGTTGCAGGACAAACGTGAGGGAAGTAACACCACCATGGTTGCAGGACTAACGTGAGGGAACTAACACCACCATGGTTGCAGGACAAACGTGAGGGAAGTAACACCACCATGGTTGCAGGACTAACGTGAGGGAACTAACACCACCATGGTTGCAGGACAAACGTGAGGGAACTAACACCACCATGGTTGCAGGACTAACGTGAGGGAAGTAACACCACCATGGTTGCAGGACTAACGTGAGGGAACTAGCACCACCATGGTTGCAGTACAAACGTGAGGGAACTAACACCACCATGGTTGCAGGACTAACCTGAGGGAACTAACACCACCATGGTTGCAGGACTAACGTGAGGGAACTAACACCACCATGGTTGCAGTACAAACGTGAGGGAACTAACACCACCATGGTTGCAGGACTAACGTGAGGGAAGTAACACCACCATGGTTGCAGGACAAACGTGAGGGAAGTAACACCACCATGGTTGCAGGACTAACGTGAGGGAACTAACACCACCATGGTTGCAGGACTAACGTGAGGGGAACTAACACCACCATGGTTGCAGGACTAACGTGAGGGAACTAACACCACCATGGTTGCAGGACTAACGTGAGGGAACTAACACCACCATGGTTGCAGGACTAACGTGAGGGAACTAACACCACCATGGTTGCAGGACAAACGTGAGGGAAGTAACACCACCATGGTTGCAGGACTAACGTGAGGGAACTAACACCACCATGGTTGCAGGACTAACGTGAGGGAACTAACACCACCATGGTTGCAGGACAAACGTGAGGGAACTAACACCACCATGGTTGCAGGACAAACGTGAGGGAAGTAACACCACCATGGTTGCAGGACTAACGTGAGGGAACTAACACCACCATGGGTTTCAGGACTAACGTGAGGGAACTAACACCACCATGGTTGCAGGACAAACGTGAGGGAACTAACACCACCATGGTTGCAGGACTAACGTGAGGGAAGTAACACCACCATGGTTGCAGGACTAACGTGAGGGAACTAGCACCACCATGGTTGCAGTACAAACGTGAGGGAACTAACACCACCATGGTTGCAGGACAAACGTGAGGGAACTAACACCACCATGGTTGCAGGACAAACGTGAGGGAACTAACACCACCATGGTTGCAGGACAAACGTGAGTAAACTAACACCACCATGGTTGCAGGACTAACGTGAGGGAAGTAACACCACCATGGTTGCAGGACTAACGTGAGGGAACTAACACCACCATGGTTGCAGGACTAACGTGAGGGAAGTAACACCACCATGGTTGCAGGACTAACGTGAGGGAACTAACACCACCATGGTTGCAGGACTAACGTGAGGGAACTAACACCACCATGGTTTTCAGGACTAACGTGAGGGAACTAACACCACCATGGTTGCAGGACTAACGTGAGGGAACTAACACCACCATGGTTGCAGGACTAACGTGAGGGAACTAACACCACCATGGTTGCAGGACAAACGTGAGGGAAGTAACACCACCATGGTTGCAGGACTAACGTGAGGGAACTAACACCACCATGGTTGCAGGACTAACGTGAGGAACTAACACCACCATGGTTGCAGGACAAACGTGAGGGAACTAACACCACCATGGTTGCAGGACTAACGTGAGGGAACTAACACCACCATGGTTGCAGGACTAACGTGAGGGAACTAACACCACCATGGTTGCAGGACAAACGTGAG